CTACTGTCCCGCGGAAAAACCACCCCGGGACCGATTTCAGCAGCTTCCTGAAAATTCCATGAACCGGCCCCTCGCCGGATGCCGGGCCTCCTACACCAGCGTCCCCCACCTCCACTCGGAGGGGCCCAGCACAGGGTGAGGCACCGTCGAAAGGTTCACCAGGCCGGAGCAGTGACCGCGGGCGGGGACCCGACCAAGCGTCGCAGGAAGGCAGCCAGGCTTTGGTAGTCGCCTCAAACCCCGCCTGCTGCTGGCACCTCCCAGGCGGATAGGCGGCCTTGCAGGTCTCCAAACGCGCCAGGAGTCCTGACGCCCCTTCTTTTCGTTTGCACAAGATCGCGGGTGGGGCCGCAACCCCCAAACCGTTTTCGAAAGCCGGGCCTCCTCCATCTGCCGCGTGGGTCGCAGGCTAAAGGCTCGCAGGTCAAAAAGGCAGAGTGACCCCCTGGGATACGTGCTACTCTGACCCTTGGGGCCTGTTATCACAGCCCCCAAGTCACAGCCACGTGCGGCCCAGGCGACAACACGTCTATTCCCTTTCCAGAGTGCAGCCACCGGAGCCCAGGGCCCTGCAACCTTGCCTGCGCTTGGGGTGCCATGAGAACCTTTCAGCAAACTGGAGCTAGCAGTAACTCAGCATCTGACCTGGTCCTAAACGTTGAGCAAAACAGAAATCGAGTGGTGTTGGAGTTTGCAAATGCCAACAGCCCTTGCGGAAGACACAGTAGACCTGGCGGCTGCCAGAGGCAGGTGGGAAGGCGCAGAGGGCCGCAACGCAAACCCGCTGGAGCTGCGGGCCCGCTTTCAACGAAACTTACTGCTCCGGCCCAAGAAGGTTGGGGAGAGTTAGTGGCAAAGAAAGAACAAGAGTCACTGTCCAGCACCTCACTTGGAACTGTAGAAGAGCAACGTCCCCATCTCTGAACCTCGCAGAGCATCATCGCCCATCAGGAGTTTGTATCAGCTAGCCGCGGCGCCTGAGTCAGTCCGAGAGATTTCTGCAGCCCTTATAAAGGCTAGGAAAAATAATTATTAAGAACGCACACACACAAGCTCTGCTTCTTTGATTTCTCACGAAGAACCCACTCCCTTTTCTTTTTTCTTTGAGTCACAAGGGTTTACCCGGAAAGAAGGTCTTCTGGTCCAGTGGCCTGGGAAACAGTCAGCAAGTCTTTTCTTCCCGCTGGATCATCCTATAGACTTCCAATGGCCGCAGCTCAAGCCGAGAAAGCCCTCGGGACACCCACAGGGCCGCATGTGAGTGCGGTGTGCCAGATGTCCGCTAGTCAATGGGCGCTGGTCAGTGGTGGACTTTGGGCTCCATTCTGCGTGTTTTCTGCCAATCTCCAGGCACGAAGGCCTTAGACCATCCCTGTCCAAAAGTCTGGGACAAAGAAATCCTGTCGGCATGAGCTCATGGGAGTACCCAATGCTGCCTTCCATACAGTCGGATGCTCCCAGCACAGGGAACTTTCCAGCACAGCTGGGAATGCAAGGAGACATTTAAATGAATCGCGAATTCCCAAACGTTTACCAAAATTTCCTCCATTCTGGCCATAAAGTACCCTGCCCGTGCTTGCTGAAACAAACTTTTAATGCAAGCTTTTTTTTTTTTTTTTTTTTTTTTTTGAGTGTACGACTGAGCTGAGGAAAACGCACAAGGCTGAAAGCTGAGTACAGACACAAGGCTTGGCACTCCAGGCCTCTCCAGCAGCTGCTCTATGTGCTGGAACTGAGGGCTGAGCTTGTCTGAGGGTCATGATGGTGTCTATCAAATCCCCACCCTGACAACCTATGTTCTGTCCTGTAGCGAATCCTGTGAAGGAGGGGCCAGACAGAGACTGCAGAGTATGAGGAGACCCTAGCTGAGATTCTAGCCTTTTTAGGGCAGGCATCCTGCCGGCCCCCAGCTGCCAAGAGGTTCTGGCCAGGCCTGCTAGAACTGGTTTGTGACAAAGGTGGAAGGAGGGGATAGCCAGTATCATATCAATCTCACACATTGGATAACAGGGTTAGGGTTTTTTTTTTTTTTTTTTTCCTATGCTTGCTAGGTAATGACTTCATGCAGCATCCTGGGTGACAGGTCCTTATCTGCTCTGCTCTACCTACTCCTGAGTACTACCTGGAGGCTCCAGGGAGGGTTGGGGGCTGAGCTGTGGCACAGAGAAGACAGCACAGGGAGGACCAGAATTGTGGCTCTCCAGGATGCAGAAAATCTGCCCACCACTGGGACCATTGGCAGGGCTGGTCCTGGAAGAAGTTCCATCAACTTAGAGTTTAAAGGCCCAAGAAGGGACAAGTTTGTGGTCAAGCCAGGGCCGAAGTTGCAAAGAGCATCCTTCTTGGCGATGTTGGTAGGCCAGCACTGGAATGGATTACGGAGATCACTGAGGCCCCAGCTATTATTGTGAAATGGGCCCAAAGTCTTACACCAGGAAGTAACTGATTGGTCCAGTACCAACCAGGGTGTTTCTTTCTGTCTCTGCTCTTCTTTTTTAGAAAAAAAAAAATGCATTGGCTGTGACCAGAGCTGGCATCAGCTGAATCCTTTTAACTATTTGGCTGAGGAGAGACCCTTGGAAAAGCTACCTTTTCCAAGGTACATCTCTTGCTAGTAGGTCACCCTTAGTAGCAAGATAGACTCTGAGCCCTATTGCAGTCTGGGTAGTATATTTTCCAGGTCCCTCAAGATACTCACAGCTCACTCAAGGGCAAGTCCCACACCATGGGTCTTCAGATAAGGGGACCTGGATACACTAAGATCTGCCCTACCCACTGAGGAAATCCACAAAGATGACATCTGATTTTCTGCAGGGACTTATACTCCTTGTGCTAGTTTAACCCCTACTTAGGCAGTCCAGTGTCCTCAAACCAAGGGACAGGCCTCCAGGAACCAACTTCTTCGGCAAAGTCTGGGCGCTCCACTAGCCCATGCTTGCATCACCACCAAACGACTTTTGGCATTCTAGAGCAGGGGGAAGTTTAGGAAATCATGCTGTATCCTCAAATAAATAAATATGTATCTTACCCATAAAAACCCGACAAAGCCCAAAATCAAAGCTGAGGCTCTAGATGCCCTCATTTTCAATATCTGTCTCTCCATCCCCTTTGAAAGTTTACAGGGATGGTAACAAAAAAACAAAAACAAAAAACAAACAAACAAAAAAGAGACACAGAAGTTACTCTGAAAACAGAACTTTGTGACCTGTGCTGCCTTGAGAATGTCACTAGGAATTTTCAGCCAGAAATCTGGGTGGGAAAGGGACAGAAGTGGGGGCAGATATGCAAAGGGCAAGTTGGGCAAGGAAATAAACTCCGGCTTTTCGAACCCTAGAAACTGTAGGGACACCCGCTCCCCTGCATACAGTCCCCAGGGCTCCCTTGTTTTTCCTACACTTTTTTGCCAAAGCAGCACCGCGTGTTTTTTCGAGGTGTTCTGACAAAGAAGGAAAAAGCAGGGACACCCCCTGTCCTCCTTTCTAAGACCCCCATTCCCCCAGCGCTGCTTCTCAAGCTGAAGCGACCAGGAGTGAAGAGGCTGGAAGCTGGTGGATCCTGCCTCTTCTCTCTTTCCAGTGCTCTAGCCACCCGGGAAGCACTGCAGTCATCCTACACTGGCTGCGCTAGGCTCCCTGAGGGCAGTCTGCAGGTCTACGCCGCCGCTTGGTTTGGCGTAGTCTTCCCTGCAAGAGACAACTTCCGCAGAGGCCACACCAGCACTACCGGGAGTTTCTCGGGCTTTGGGCCCCGTGGGGTTAAAGTCAGAGTCCCAGCCTGGCACGCAGCAAAACGCGCCGAGTGGGGGCGGTACCGGCCGCGGGGCAGCCAGCCGACTCCGAAAGGAAGGAAAGGCGGGATCCTCCGGGAAGTTGATTTTCAGGCGTCCAGCTGCGGCCACTGCCAAATCTCTGACTTCTCTTCCCACCTCCTCCCCCTTTCCCTGGAGGACAGCTCGGTCCCGGGTTTCTAGCATGGGGGTGGGGCATTGTCATCTGGAAAAGCCAAGGCTTTCAGAGGCCCCCTTAGAGAACCAAAAACTCCATCCCACTGACCTCCTCCTGGGTTACAGTATCTCTACCTGACAGCTGCGACCTTCCGAGCGATGCGGTGACCCAGCCAGGGCTGGAGCACCTGGCGAGGCATGGGCAATGCTGTTGCTTGGCCCTAGTTTTAAAAAGTGTCCCACACGGCTTCCCCTGTAGGCGCCTTCTGTTCCCCCTCTTTCTCCTTCCTGCAAGGCACCCCCTTAAACGGTCCTCCGCTTTCCCTTCTACGCCCGATCCTCCTCTTTTCTTGAGGGGGGGCATTCAGCCCCCCTCCTTCGGGGGTCCTCCTCCTCCTTCTCTCTTTGGG